TGAAGTTGGCCAGCGCATTCATTTGGGTACCTCTGAAGTCGTAATTTGTATTTGTTCATTAAAATTAGTGCAATATTGTGAAGATAGATAGTACGCGAAAATGTAGTCCTAAAATTAATGCGTGAAGTAAAAACTGCAGTATGGATAACGGCTGAAGCATTATGTAATTGGAAGATATCTCGTAGTACGAAGACAAACATAGGTAACATAGGGCACTATTAACTAAAAAAACTTACGAAATCGCTGGTACAAAACAACAAATGACTGGTATTACAAATGCAGGAGTATCTGTCTGTCTGTATGACAAAAAGGCTGAATAAATAAAACAAAATTTGACATGAAGATAAGACTTAACGGCTTCGATGGTCTAGAGGTTAAGCATACCACTTTACTTCCGATGGTTGCGGATTTCATTCCTCGCTCGGAACACATATTTGTATTCACATACACACATTCGGTGTTTTCTATGTATTTATTTATTTTAAGTATTCTCATCATCTCATCAGTCCAATACCAATGACACAAGCTCTGTTTAGCTCGCGACTATAGATACGCTGTGACAATTGTCCTGGGTTATTATTATATAATATAATTATAATAATAATAGCCTATCTTTTATCACAAAGAAAGAATTAATGCCGCGGATATCACTTATAAAATAAGTAATACAACAACTCCCATACAAGTAATAAATAAACGTGAAGTTTCTTTAGAATAGTAGCTACAAAATAAATAACAAAAATAAAAGCTAAGTCAGCGCACAACCTGCAATTACGTACGTTGGGATTTAAAATTTCGGTCGAATCATTGTCATTACGTTCTATTAGGCGGTAGCAGGCAAAAAGACAATAACTTTAGAATATTAGCTTCTGATTGGTATATATCAATATAGTTTTTGTGATGGTAATTACTTCATTTAGTGCTGCTGTTTTTTGGGACCATTTCCTCAATATTTCAGCGTATAAATCTAATTACACTTTATATAAAGTCGTCTGCGTGAGTTCCTCTGCCTCGTCTATTTCAGCTGCTTTGTGAGCTCGAGTCGGAGGGTGAGATATTTCGGTGAAATAACAGGGTACGAATCCATGATATTATAGTATTCAGGAATGGGAACCTTAACCGTACCACAGGCATCACATAATTTGATGTCCATGGCTGACCATGGCTGACCATGGCTGTTCATGTATATACACGACGTTTACCACTTACCATCCGTTAAGCCGTCAGTTTGTTTGTCCTGGTATGCAAGGACATAAAAAAGAATATATTTAGGTGTAAGTATTTAAAACGTACATTTAGTTGGATAAAAATACAATTTTTAAATATATCTAAAATATTGTTCAATAAATTTCAGTACATTAAGAACTTTTATACTCGAACAAATTAAGGTACTAGGTCCAAGCAAACAGACATAGATAAGATCTCTTAAAGTTATCTATAATGTTCCATGAACAATACGAATCTGATTCCCCTTAGAAACCATGCAACGATGGGTGAAGTGATCTGATTTTATGTTCATTCTTTCATACTTCACTGGCTTTCCGCAATTTAATTATTATAAGACAAAAAAGTTACGGCTCATAAACTTCTATTAAAATAAATCTAGATTAAATTTAAAAAAAATACAAAATTACGTATGCTATTAACCCACCCCCCTGTACTATGATAATATATTTTTCACACTTCATCTCCACACCAACATACCTACACTATTCTGACGTTGGTTGAAGGCCATGTAAGTAGGTTGTTCAACTACAGTCCCTGAAGCATGACCAATTTATATTGCAATTTTTTTACATACCCAGTCAACTTAGGTATATTTCATGTCTTATTACCATAGACTACAGAGACAGGTATCATTTATTTACATTAGATAATTCAAGAGTACATTTTGATTACTTAAAACAAAAATATACATATAACTTATTTGAAGTATGTAAGTAAATAATAATAATAATAACCCAGGACAATTTACACAGCGCCATCTACTTGGTACTAGACAATTGATAGATGTATATATTTAAATACATTTCCTTTATAAATGCATTCATAATATAGATAAAAACATCCAGACGAAGAAAAGAGAAAAACTATAAAAATATAAACGGTACAAACTTTATATTCATGAACATATCATGAATATAACGTTTGTACCGTGCGATAAATCGAACCCGCGACTATCGGAGGTAAGGCTGAGTCCTAAACCGCTAGACTACCGATGCCACATGTTTGAATGCACCTAAATAAGACATTTTTAAAATTAGTGTGTCTGAGCCATCTGTCTTAGATTCTTATACTCATTATATCTGCAGATGGGGAGACAATTGTATTTTTAATTTTAATTTTATCGCCTAAAACACCAGTACACAGATTTCTATTAATTGGATTTTAATGTTCTGTGAAAATTCTGGAGACTTAAAATTTTGTGTTTAATTATGTTCTAATTTTAATTATAACTGATTTTAAATAAAGTGATGAGATTTTTGTAAAATACTTTGTGAGTACATCCACCAGTCCGTAACTATATTTCACGCTATACATATTCTATTTAAGACTATCAACTCTATTATATTTCACATACTATTTGACATTACACACTGATTTTTTTTAATATTCATAACTTTCTTTTTATATAAGAAAATCCGAAATAGGGATCACACATACAAATTTCAAATAGCTTGTACAATTGCTGCACTGTATAAATGTAAATATTTTGTCATCCAAGCAAACAAAGTCATATACATATCACTACAACTTTAGATGTATTTTCTTTATCTGAAAGTCCTTCAATATTAGTGCCAAAGACACCAGATGCATAAGGTCAAAAGTACTTTATACTATCTGTATACTATTATATTAAAACTAGCTACTCGCCCCGGCTTCGATGTACATGTATTATACATATAAACCTTCCTCTTGAATCTCTATATATTAAAAAAATTGTTGCACAGATTTAAAGATTTAAGCATACATATGGACAGACAGACAGTGACAAAGACTTTGTTTTATACTAAGTATGTGATGAAGTATTAATCCAACTTATTTATTAACTAGTACATACAGATATTGAAGGAAGAAATTTGTAAATATCTTTTACTTGTACATAGCATATTTATTAAACAAAATTGTCATTTTATGCATGCAATAAAATTCTTTGAGCTCTGTCTCATAGTGAAATTCAAATTTAAAATATCTTTATTTATTTAGGTCTATTACAGACTCTTATGATATATCAAATCTACCGTCAGTTCGGAATGGTTTCAAGTTGAGAAGAACTGACAAGAAACTCAGCTTGTGTGTGTGTTAGCTCACAAATGATAATATATTCGACAGTCGGGAAATCATAGTGTCAGTGTAATATAATTCCTAATATTATAAGAGTAGATTCCCAATCATTTGTTGCCCATTTGTTATTGAGTACCCTATACAAAACATGAAATATTAACAGTAAATGAAGAATTATATTATTCTTCTTAATTTATAAACTAACATACATCAGGGAACTTTATTTAAATGTTTTTTTAATATTAACTTTTCCTCAAAAGTAATATTGCATATTTTAAAATAATCCAAACCAACTTATACTGCCGAGCAAGTTAGCTTAGACCAATAATAGTGTTAAAAAAGGTATGCAGCAAATATGGGGCATTTAACAGGCATTGATATTAAGTTTTTGTTTGATACATCAAATGATACATAAACACCAGAGAGCGTAAAAATGAAGTTGTTAGAATAATGTTTGAAAATTCAATCATGTAAGTAACAGTACACCAAATGAAAAAAAACAAGCTACATAGATAGCACTATGCACATATAAAGTATATCTTTTACTTTGTTACTATTAAGATACATCTTATGTATATTTTTAATGGATGATAATGTTATGATACACCAGCTTATTCTAACTATGACAGTCCCACAGTCTGCCAATAATGGCAAAAACACTAGAAATTTATCAAGAAAGACTCCAGGGGAAAACTGCATGTATTTAAAAAAAAATCTAATTATTTATGTCAGTTGTCTAGTACTCATAACACAAGATCTAGTTAGCTTGAGATTAGTCGGTGTGATTTGTCCATTATTATTTTAACTCCATGGTAATCAATATGTTGATGCATTCCTGATGACAACTCTAACACCTTAGTATCCCGTAATTTTACTATTGTATCACATCCTTCAGCCAATACCTTAGCCAGTTCCAGAGGAACACATAAAACAATCAAAACTTTTGCCATATCAAATCGTGGCTGAAGTAGTCAATATCCAATGAGAAATTAAACACAACAGAAGAGAAATAAATAAAAATATTAAAAAAATACCCCTTCAGCCAAAACACAGCTTAAAAAACAACCAATATCTAAGTACTTCATAGACATGATTGAAGTAGAACTATGGTACCCACTCACAAGTACTGTTCATCTTTTACTGCTCTATTATTTTATTATGAGTGTGCTGAAAGTGCATAAAGTGCACTTTTGACAAAAATAACAGTAAATTATATAGACATCACAGTAGAAATTAAAGGAATATTATATATTTATCTACATTTAGAATAGAATTGTACTACCCTATTATTTAATGTAAACATATTAATATAGAGGTAGGAGGTAGGATGACTATTTTAGATTTTTTTAAAAATGCATATCAAATATTGAATTAAGATAGATATAGATAACCATAGATAAAAGTAGAAAATAAAATTAATAAATTATTCAAAAATTAAATTTAAATAAACAATGTGGTAGTAATGAGCTACTTAAATAGCATTAATGAAGGTAATTTCAAAACAATGCAGTTATCTAATTTCATTTAACGTTCAGTGCTTTATTAATTTCTATACTAATCAATCCTAAACAAAAATGACAAGTATGTCTTAAATTTAAAAAGTCTAAATAAAATCAAATAGATCAAATCAATTTCCTATATCAAGAAAATTCAGTAATTAACAAACAAATAAGTTTAAATTATTGTAAACATGCCAAAAGTATCTGAGTACTCACCTAGAAAGCTGGTCTGCCAAGTGTTTCCAAGTCTGCAAGGTATAAATCTGTCCATGGGCTCTGGTCGAACCAACACGGACTGTTTCCTGTTCACAGGGCTGCATGATTGCAGCAAACGGTTCTGGTACGACTCACTGAACATTCTGAATGCTCTTAGTCCAAGTTCTCAACACCCACTAGCCAGTTCTAACAACTGGACACTTCAAGACGAGGGTACAATATAACAGTATTAGAAACCGTAAATTACAGGTAGATTTATTAATTCATATTTAAAGATAACTGTCATAACGTAAATGTCGACGGTAGAGCAATAATTAAAGAGTTCACAGGAAGAGTACTCGACTCCTCAACTGTTAATATGCATTTGACTTTATTTGACATGGTTATACACAACAACAAACTACATTTTTCACGGCTTGAGTAGTAATTGTATAAACTACAAGATTCTAATATTGTTTATTTAATTATCGATTTCTAATTTAGTACACAAGTAGACAAAAGCATTAAATTTTGTTTTCTGAATATTTTGAGATAAAATATTGCTTGGTACATTCGAAATATAATCTATGCATTTTTTTAGTGACTAATGTTGCCATATTCCTTTTAGTTTGCTCCAAGGTTAGACAAAATTACCCTAAAAAGTTGTCAATTAATGTATTCTAAAAACATTTTCTTGAGAAAATCATCAATATATATTGATATACACATATATAATCAGAAATTATTAAATCATCACCACTAAAAATATAAATATATAAATTTATTATAAAGTTATTTTTCAATACCAACAAAACCTCACTGTTTGTACTTGTGTGTTCATATTTTTTGAAGAAATAATTACTAGCATCGGATTTTAAGCAAATTAATCTTTAAATATATGCATAAAGTTCTCTCCCCGTTAAAAAAGGTTGCCACATTGGGACATTCAATGTTTTTCGGAATGTCACGAATGTTCATATCTTAAAAGCCTCGTATATATAAATGATATATATTTTTTAATTTTTTACATAAATTAACTTTAGAAATAATTAAGAGTATAAAAATATATTTACCCTAAATTTTAGGTAAATTATTCTGAGTTGGCGACATTGCAACTGACATCAATATTTTTTTGGGGATACAACATAAAAAAACTATTATTTAAATAAATCCGTTGAAACTTGATTGAACTCGTAGATAGAGAGTTAGTTAGAACTCAACCACAAAAAGAAATAACACTGTATGGTTGGTGCAAACACCAATTGCGGGCAAGTGTAACTAATTGAAATACATATTGTTAAATTAACAAATACGTATTTAAGTCCTCTATAATAAACTTTTTCTTTTTGAATTTTAAACACGAAAAATGGTCTTTTCTGATTTTATATGTTTTTTTTAAATAATAAATGATTTATATCTCTTTTAGATGTACGTTGTAATTGTGCATTCTGTTGACTGAGAGTGAGACACAACACAGCATTAATTTTCAAAGCCACATATGCGTTTTATGCCACTCCATACTCCATCTATAGGTACAAATTGTCAGTATTTGCACAGAGTAATTTTGAATCTGAAATTGACAGTCATGCCAAATGAAATAAATTTATATCTTTATATTTCTTTTAACTCAATCGTTTAGCTTGTAAAGCTTGTATGCAAATTCAGAATTTTAAAATAATATTGTATTTAATATTCATTTTAATATTTGTTTGATATTCAAAGTAATATCTGTTTCACAGATTTCAGATTTTTTTTCATTACATTCATTTTACTACGATCTATTCTTTACAGCATTGTTCATTTGAGAATTAAAGATCATGGATTTTCGCCGTAAGCATAAAAATGACGATAATTTTAACGAATCTCCGACATATTCGAGATTATTTGTAGTTACTGAGAAAAAAGTGACAGAAGATCAACTTCGAGATGCATTCACAAAATTTGGAACTCTTGAAGACATACGTATACCCCGTGATCACAACACGGGAGAAAGTAAAGGTATAGCTTATATAAAATTTTCTAAAACAACAGAAGCTGCTGCCGCTATGGAAGAAATGAATTTGAAAGTAATTCCGAACTCTAACCGCCCTTTGAAAGTCATGGTAGCTGTTAATCGCTCAGAAATACAGAATGATGATGATTATGATGAAAAATATAGAAGATTATTTATAACAATCCCAAAGACCATGAGTGAAAAAGAAATTAAGGATGAGTTTTCCGAATTTGGTCATGTTGAATACATTCGTGTACAAAGAGAGAGGGATAGTGGATTGCCTAAAGGTTTTGCTTATGTTAAATTTACAAAGTTCTCGGAAGCAGCCCGAGCATATGAGGACTGCGATCCAAAGTACAGAGCCATTTTTGCTCTCCCAAAAACAAGCAATAGACGACCAGAGACAACATTTGAGACTAATATCAACTCACTAGCTTCATCCTCGATTGGTTCAAAGGCATCACTTATATCTGCTATGAATGTACGTCCTGGCAATTACACTAAGGTCAATTTTATGTGTTCCCCTTATCTTACCCAGGTGCATGTTGATAGGATTTTTGATATTGTACCAGGGTTGGTACATTGTCAATACTATGTAGATTTAATGCGTAATTTCGGTAAAGGAACCGCTTCATATTCCAATCCAGTTTCTGCGGCGTATGCAGTTGAAAAATTGAATAAATTTGAATATCCACCTGGTGTCAAAATTTTTGTTAGGCCTGCTGACTCAAAGTTTGACCAACATGAGCAAAACTTCACCAACATACCTAATGTGGTGAACAATTTGAAAAGCGCTATCAATGCAACTGCTAATTCTGCTTCCCCTGACTTGGCACAGTTGGCTGAAGCTATAGCTGAAGCTTCGAAACTGATCAAAATAGCTACAACTGGTGTAAATGATGAAAACTCTCATGATAGCAATGATTTGAACTACTGTAGTGTGAAGTTACCAGCGCCACAGCCACTGGCTGACATTGACAGTGCTGTGGCGAAAAGATGTTTTTTAGTGTGCAAGCCACAACCACCCCCTCTTACAGTTTTACGAGATGTTTTCTGTCGTTTTGGGGACCTTATTAATGTTTATACACTGCCTAATAAAACAGTGGGGTATGCTCGTTATGCCAAGGCTGATGCAGCTGATGAAGCTATCAGAGTATTACATGGTGCTGAGATTTGTGGCGTCCGAATGAAGGTGCTGGAGGCTGATGACGAAGCCCCTCCAAAGAGAGCTAGATATTCTGATAGGACAAGTACATATTAACTCTAGACATTATCTAAGGACATCTACAGACCAGAACCTCTTTGGACATGAACAGACTCCTGGACATGTGGACACCTACGGACTACTTTTCATAGTGACAATGTACTGACAAATAAAATGTTTTCATATATAACTGACATTGTTCTTGGCCTAAATGATAGTTCAAAGTCTACTTTTGTACTACCTTCTAATATTATAATTGCGAAAGCAAATTTGTTTGTTACCATTTCATGCCTAAACAACTGAATCGATTTCAATAAATTTTAATATACAGACAGTGACCCTTGAGACTGTAAATAAGCTGAAAAGTGGTGAAAATAGGGTATGAAAATCAGTATGGGGAATTAATAATTTCTTAAAGGATATAAAAGTAATTATAATACCAAATTATACTGCTTAAAGTACTAAAATACTAAACTCTCGGGTAACAGCTAGCTATAAATATACAGACAGACATTATAAAAAGTAGACTTTGTTCTCGTATCATATATGCGCTTCAACTATATTCCCAGTCTTATATTATTTTGAAACTCCATTACAGATAGGTCCTTCAATGTCCAATTTTATTATTCCATAAAAATTAGACAAGTTGGGAGTAAAATGTATTTTAAACCATGACTATTTGTTCTGCAGAGTATTAATATTCAGTTTATATTTTTATCTGTGCCAAATAATAAGGTTAAGCAGATAACATTAATCCAAAACGCATTGAATGTAGTCAGAAAATTGGAATTTGTCGAATATAACACTTTCTATTAAGAGTAAATAACTATTAAGAGTATTTATATGGACACATCTTAAAATTCTGGCTTTATTTTTATAACTTCAAGACAAAATAACATTAACTGTTTAATTTTTTTAGATAATGGTAGAGATTTTTTACGTATTTTTTTATTGTTATGCGAATCTTTGTAAAAAGACTACTGAAGTAGAAATAAGTCGACTGTGTGGCTACCTCACTCTTATTTCATTCGCCAAGTAGCTTTCTTTGTAAAGTGGTTTCATTAGAGGAGTGAGATAGTGAAATTATAGCAATAATAAGAGATGATCTTAGTCCTCCAGAATGACATCGCACGTGCTCACGGGCATCACATGATAACGTGATACCCTTTTTTTTTTTTTACTTGTGTAATGCTGTTGGGCTCAGCCTGCTTTTACAGCTTCACCGGATGATAGAGGGGAGTGCAGATGGAACTCCAAACCCACGGAAGAACTTATGGAGGGGTTGAAGGCCAACTCCGGCCTGACGGATACGACTTTAGTCTGGTCACCGCTAGGGATTCGAATTTCTGCTCTGGTCGTCATAATTTCGATCCCCGTTCGAATTTGACGGGGGATCGATCGGAGGAGGCGGGGACGTGATAGACGTAGTGCTATGCACGCATATAGACGAGGGTAACCACTTACAAACAAACCTGTGGGAAACCTGCTTCTATCTCCTAATGTTACGTTTACATTCAGCCGCTTCCCCTACCACTCGCGCTGCCGGAAATATTGCCGCGTCAGCGTTGACGGGACTCGACGCGAGTGAGTGTCGTTTACACTCAGCCCTCATATTTATTTACTGGGCGACTCTTGCTTACCTTCCGCTTTAAACGCCGCGACAAATGAGCGAGAGGGCTGAATGTGAACACACTGCCACTTGCGCTGCCAGTCCTTTCGCACACTAAAAACCGACAATCGAGGTAGCGCCGGGCACTGCGAGTGGCAGCGCCAATGGCATGGGAAGTATCGTGTTTACACTCTCGCTCGCTTCCCTGCCCACTCGGGCTGTGTGTAAATTGGACTTAATACTTAGAAAAATTGTCACTATCACATTCATTTTGCAATTACTTCCATGTTGGGTGTTTGTCTCATACTTTCTCAGTATTTGGCCATTAATATTCTGGGGTGAGATGCTATATATTTAAACAAATACTATATTCAATTCTGTTTATTGCACTTTTTATAATTCACAAAGTATAATTGACAATATTTGTAATGAGGAATAATGATAAAAAATACATTATCATTATTGTACGTATTCTACAATTTCTAATATACTACTCTAGTTGACCTCAATCTCAAATGATGGGATCATACAAGCAGATAAAAAATATTTAACACAATTTTAAAGCACTTCAGAATCAGCTATTGCCATCAATAAGTAATTTTCTTTTATTTTTTCCATAAAATTGATAATTTATGAAAATAAATTGTAGAAAAACAAACCTTATTACAAAGCAATAAAACTTTTAAAAAATACTAACACTGCATCTATATTGTATAAAACTTCAAATATTACGGAAATCAGAAAAGAAAAAGACCTCATTTTGACAATAATTCCAGATGGAATATCACGATTTACATTATTATATTTTTTTTTTATTAGAAAGAATAGAAGATAGAATGAAAGATTAGAATTACTTTGAAAATAGGTAAGACGGTTGAATAGCTAAAATAGGCAAATACGTTTAAAGTTTTCTAAACTATTATTAGGAGGAAAAATGTATTTAATTTGTAGTAGAGAAATTTGGAAAATACCGATTTCAAAAATTCTTTCACTATATAAGATAGAATAAAAGCTACATTATTATAGAGTAAGAATTATTGCTTTTTTTTTATTTTTAAGAGGTTTTAGAGATCCTTCCATGATGGCCCCATTGCAAAGTCAGAATAGACCACTAGTTATAGATCAGGGTAGCTTCTTTGCAGCTAAAAATATGTGTTTATATTTGTACATATTGCTTTCGTATAAATTCACATTTAGTTTGCACCTTTTTAGACTCTAAAAAAGCCTGTAATATAATTGTATAGAGATCACAGCCAGTGCATTCAAGACGACTCGATCATTGCTTGTCCAAGTAAAGGCAGTAGATATTCTCTATAAAGTGGATGCTTGTCTCCGTGTGTGATTCTCAGGATTTTCTCCGCGTATTTCAGTTGTTGTAAGGACTTTTGTAAATCCATTCTGTATAGTAGAATCTTTCCATACTTTAAATATAAGAGACCCAATAAGGGGTGCCGGTCACCATAGTAGAATCTGGAAAAGGAATACTATTTAGGGGTAGGCAGGTAACGTAAAAAAAGTGTATTGATAGCCCTCAATTCTATCTGATAACGTCTGTAATATACAATATTAGAGATCTTGATAATCCCATATTGTATTTAGCCCTAGCTGTGCCAATGACTGTTTTATTTTTAAACCGATTGGAAGGACCACTCGGACCGGGTATGCAAGTCAGCAGTAATCAGCTTCAGGTCAGGTCGTCAGATTGTAAAAAATATAGAAAACTTTATTTTTACGAAACTTTACTACTTACTACTTGACGTTTTTGAGATTAACGTACACAAAGTTTTTAAATATTTTTATGTTTTTGTGTCTGGTATATATGTACAATATGTATATATTTTAATAAATATATTTAATGTACTGTACACACACAGCCTCTTTTAGGTCTTATTGTATATATAATATAATGATGTAATTAAAGTGTTATTGTACCTGAAACAAGGAATGAGCCTTTCGGCATAGTCACATGCTTTCTCCCACAGTTGCACCAATATGAGAGCATCGAACGCGTGGTCCAGCGTTTGCGCATGCATCACGTTCATGGGATGCAACACACCCTCCTGACGCTCCAGACAATAATTGCAAACGTCAACATCTGTATAGTGAATTGATAAAGAAAATGATAGCGTTAACATGACAAAATTTAAAATTTCGTCCCATCAAAAATACCTTAACCGTGACAGAATTTCTAAGATAAACATACTTATAGGTGTTACTATAGGAATATAAAAAAAATATTATATATAGAAATAAATCTATTGTATTGAAAAAACTCTTGCAGTAAATTGATAAATATTAATAGCGAGCCATAAATTTCAATAATAAGAACTCTACATGAAATATTCTAAAAGCAAAATTACATTGGACTGTGTTGATATCATCATTTAAATTGATAACTCTGTTTATATATTGATAGATACAGGTTACATGAGATAGAACGAGACAGCTACATTCAGCGTCTTGGTCTTTCTCATGTAAAGCAGTAGCAATTCGTTTTGTTTTGTCCTGCAAAAGAAATAAAGATATATAAATAAAATACATAAAAGGATACAAGCAACAGAAGCACCTTTCATATTCTGAAGATGCAGTTCAGTGAATTCCATAGTCTTCACAAATAGCTCAACATGTTGTACGGTGAACTTGGTGCCACATTCCTCGCAACGTACACTGTCGTCCCCTCTCGGTAACCCATTAACTATATCACAATTGCCATTCATTGTATGTCCATTCTCTAGTCTTTCCTCCGGTCTTCTCACTAGAAGACAGTCTTCCTTCCATGGTATACTGACGGGGCTATCACATTCGCTGTTTAGGCATTTCGCTGCATGCACTATCTTCATTTGAGATTCATCTGTAAAGAAGTGGTAGTCAGTTAGGTGTTATAATAAAAATAAGCCTGAACATCTCCTACAGCAGTGGAAGGGAAGAAGATTTTTAGTAATGTAGACTAACCAGCCTATTGCTATAGTAATTTATCCTAGCAGGCTGACCTCCAAGCGGTATCGCAGGTACAGCACCACCCCGTTATAGATGGTAACATTTGAAAATTTGACATATACACCTGTCAGTTTAGTCTCCGGGACTAAAAAACAGGCTATAATATTCAATCTACTATAATATCCAGAAAACTTTCATTAAACTAGTACGCCATCTGTCTTGAATAAAGCGTAAAACTGGCGTATTCGTAATCATCTGCTAACTGACCTGACAGATTTCATTTCAAACTACTGTCTTTGACTGGTGCTTCATAAGAGTATACTACTAGTGTAGGCGGGAGCTTTATCTCATTGTTGAATAATGTTGTTTAGATTCAGTTAGGTTCACATTTTTTATTTTATGACAATAATAAAAAGAGGAAAAAAGCCTGCGACGTTTCTTCTGATATCTAATTACCACTGCATAAGAGCACTTGCAACACTAGGAGTATTAGGCGAGGGTATATTTATCCTAAAATGTGGGCAAGCTATTGAGGACGAATATATACTCTTCTTAAGATTCTGTTCGGAAATATAAGTTGGTGATTCCACAATGTGCTTGTCTATCAAAAAGTGTCTGGATAAATGCACGGTGGAGGACCGATATTTAATCTGGTGATCGGGTGGTGTTTAATAGGAACACAGTACATGCCGTTCAAACCTCAACTCAAAGAGAAGAAAATAGCCATGCAATTGAAAAGGGACCAAATTCTTTACCCAACCAGAAAGATGAGTCAAAATATTATATATACTTTTTTAGTAGGTCCATAAAAGATTTTATTTACCACTCTCTTTAGTTTACCCGTGATTATAGTATATACAAAAATATCTATGTATTTGTATCAGTTATCTAGTAACCACAACAAAAGCTTTAGATAGCTTAACTTGGGTCTAGATGGCACTGTGTGAATTGTCCTGAGATTATTATTATTTACTCATCTTTTTGGTTAATGACTGCATTCATACATTTCCATACAAATAAAATATTATACACATCTAAAGCATTTACCCATGCACCTGTCACACTGGCACAAGAAGTAATAGTTCTCTAACAGCTCCGTCTGCCTTTCGTACGGCGTCTTCATTAAGTCTATATACGAGATGCGAATCTGAAAAAAAAAAAAAATTGTACTTTTTCAACTGTTTAAAAAAGATAAGATAGTGAAAGTACATGATAAGAGGCACGTCATCTTAAATCTTTGGATTCCGAACCACGAATAATCGTCACTATCGTACGACTTTATCCGCGTGTTCCCAAGGATCTATTAAAATTTCAGAATTTATATTGATTTGAAATATGGAGTAGTTTTAGGTACAGATGTAGCTTTATTTGTACCTACATTCATAAAAAGCTAACATATTGTTTTCATCGGTCTGGGCGTCTCTCTGTATATTATTTACAAAAGCATGTATTTAAGTATTTATATCAGTTATCTACTATGTATAAAATAAGCAATGTATGCGCCAAATAAATATATTTCTTTTTTTGTTGGCGCTGTGCGAATTGTCCATGGTTCTTATAATTAATTTTAAAAAAAGTACCTGGTTCCAATCTAAATAAGGCATATCCGTTAGGGCCCGTATATTGATTGTCTTCCCGTCAAAGGTGGCGACTGCATTCGGGTTGCAACTATGGTCTACAATCGACGAGGCCAAATATACCGCTGTCCCTATTGAGTTCATGTCGTTGTCCAATATTGTGAAGCTGTTTATTATCATCTGAAATAAAATAAATATATATATATATGATTATTTAATATCGGCCTACTATATTCCGCATTTTAATAATGTTTTTCACAAATTAAAATGACAAAACATATGCGCAATCACGCGCGAAAACACGATTGCACGCGCTGGCCTTCCCGAACTCCTGAGAACGTGTAAAAGCAGCTAATAGCCGCCTTTACACGACATATTCTTTCGTATGCTTTCATATGCTTCAAGTCATTCACACTTTCTTTTGATTTTATACCATAGATTTTATTTTCCTACGACACGTCTAAGATTTATAAATTATCAACAGCTCTATAATTAATTATTACAGGCGCTAAAGCACACTCACGATTGATGAAAACGGGAACGCGGTCACTGACGGCGCGTGCGGTCGATCTCGTTCATATATTTATATACATATATATTTTTTTTTAAATATTACCATTCTGCACTTCTTAATCTATAATAACTGTAAGTGAGCGATATTTTATACTCCGTTCGCACAATTTTGGTAAAAAGTACCCCTTTTTTCATGTATTAAGTTTAGCACACCGCGGTATGATTGTTTGTATCTGTCTGGGCGTTTTCTATATATATTATGTATTTAAAAATATATATATATACGAATTTATATCAGTTGTCTAGTAACCACAACACAAGCTCTGCTTAGCTTGGGACTAGACGGCGACAATTCACACAGAATTGTCCTGAAATATTATATTATTAACATATAAATTTATATTGATTTTTGTGTAAGAATATTAAAAATTACTTACCCTTCCATATAGTCCCATGAGCTCAACATTATTTGGCAGTGACAAGTCCTTCAGGAATTCAAATAGTACTCCACATAACGATGTGAAATGCTCCATTCTCTTCGTATCAGCCTTCAGGTCGGGATAATCTGCATTAGAAAAAATATATAAAGAGGTAACATTTGTAAGTTTGTATATGTCCGGGGTAATATCCGGTACTACTTATCCGATTTTGAAAATTGTTTATTTGTTGATTATCAATTGATCTAGGAAGGGTGTAGGCTTTGTAACATCGCGCTAAGACAAATAGGAGCGGAGCTGCTACGATAAATGTTCCGAAAATGTGACGCAAAAACGTAGTTGCGCTGGTCAGGTAGATATAGATTTAACAACAACTGCATATTTTTGCTCTCAATTTATGGGATACTGGACATTTTTAGTTGTCATATTTTTTCCTGTGTAACTGTAATGGCAAATTGAATTACGGCTGATGGTAAATATACCTGTAATATACGAACGGTACAAATGATTGCATTATTATGTGAGATTTGCTGTATTTTCTCATATGTTAGCATTTCACAGAACTATGAAGTCATGCGTTGCGTCATTATCTAAGCCGTTCATTGTGTTTTCTCATAGTTTACCAATCCGCAAAACAGTGGAGTCATGCCGTTTATAGTCATTAATTTTGGGAACTTATTTTACTGCCATATCCCATCCTGAAAGACTATTTACAAAGCAAACTGTCTCTTGGTTTGATTTCATATAGTCTACCTCGGTCAGTAATATGATTAGTCCTGTCTCTATACAAGTTTGTATTACCAGTATCTTTTATATAGTTATATGTATATTATACACCTATAGATATCTTCTATATGTGTATTTGTCACATAACGTCTTCCAGAGGGCTGGATCGATTTGGATGAAGTTTTGTATATAAATTTTATTGAATATTATAAAAATAAATAATACAATTAGATCCAGTAAGTTGCCTTCCGGGCATGCCATCTGCCGGGATCGCTGGTATAATCAAATCCAATCAATATATACAAATAATAATACCACTACTACTTACGTGACATAAGATCCTTCCACATCCTAAACGACGTGGCAGAATAAAAAGCTCTGTACGAATGTCCATCGCCTCGATTTAGCTTGTTGATTATTTTTGCGAGCATACGAGCTGCATCAGGTATCACTTTTGGCGATACTCTCTTCAGGTTTGCACACTCCCACTGAAAATTAGTACATAATAATGAATAATAACCCTGGACAATTCAAACAATGCCATCTAGTCCAAATGCAAAAATTGTTTGTATTATAAAATAGAAATAATCTTTATTCAACTAAACTTAATATAAGCACTTTTAAATAATCTCATTTTTTCTAGGACATTGTTAATAAATACAGTACATAATTTAATTTTCAAAACAATATAAAAAAAAATTAATTCAAATTTGAAATAATTTTAATAAAAACATATTGTTTTAATTTAGTGATACAACAATTATTTAAGAATTTGCTTCTTTCCTTATATTTGGCACCGTGATCTAGCATTGCATTAAAATTGCACGCAGTGAAAGAGTTAAAGTCATGTCGAGTTTATTTGCAAATTGCCTCCTTTAAAAATCAAAAGGCTCCCAGCTTCCACGTTGAGACCGCTTTAGAGAATAAATACTATAAGAGGCTAGAGATAACAAACTCATTTTTACATGAGATATAAAGAAATTGGGGTCACTTAAGTGGTCTTTATCCATTCCGATATATGCGGTCTATTGACCTATGTTCATGTACCTACATAATCGGTTGCCACTTTACTATTTTACTTATAAAAAATGTCATTTACATTGTGAACTGTCGAAGTCGTACAAACACCTGGCTGGCCCACATTTCGCTAGGTATATTTGAATCCAGCATAGTAGGGGCGAGCCCACCGCTGCCATTACGTAAATAAATGGTAAAAATAACCCGCAATGAAAATAAAACTGCAAATGAAACCGAAATAAAAAAAACATTGAAATAGATCACTGCCGAGTCGAGGAAATGGCAAGCAGCCATAAAATGTGCGTCTGTTACGATTCACACGGACGTGTACAGTCGCCAAAAATATTATGATAAACGATAATTCATCCTCACTTTATTAAAATTATAAATGCAAAAGTAACTCTGTCTGTCTGTCTGTTGCGTTTTCACACCAAAACTAATGGACCTATGTAAATTAAATTTGGCACACAGATAATCTAGACCCTGAGAAAGGTCATTACAAGACCACTTTTTAATGCGAAAAAAAGGTTGTAAGGAGCTAAAAGGGGAAATTAAAGGTTGAGGAAAGGAAGTATTTTTAACGCTAGAAGCTTGAAACTTATTTTTTAGGCTTTTGATTGAATATAAATGAATGACAAAGTTTGTAAAAAAATACCCTTAAGGAGATAAAATAAAATAGGGGATAAAAGTTTGTATTTGTATATAGAAATTCGTCATTTTTTAAGCTATAAAGATTAAACTTTTTTCTTGGGTTATATTATTAAATATTTTTCTTTTATTTGGGTCATGGTTTTGATTATTTTATTCATCAAAAATAGATTACTTTCAAATTTACTTAGATGTTATTATGTCAAGGATATTAATAATTAAAAAATTTAAACGTGTGTGTATTTGTAAAATAATTAGTCTATAATATAAATAAAAATGCTACTCAAGGTCACTATTTCAGGCGGTCGAAGTCGCGGTCACAGTTAGTTTATTACATATGGAGCTTAAAATACAATATTATGAAGGCTAAATACAAAATAAAAGTTCATGCGAACCCGCGTAGGGTTTAGAGTGTCATCTGCACTCGCCCCCTATCGTGTGGTGAAGCTATAAAACTGTGCCAACAGCATTAGAATCCAAATTTTCGAAATTCGAAAAAAATCTTCCTCGTGATAGTCTTCCTTCAAGCGAAATTCTGCCTGTGTGTATCACGGATATATATTACATATTTCTTAAAAAAAAAAGCAGACAAAGTTGCGGAAACCTGCTAGTTTATATTATTAGTATGGATTATAAATATATCAGATTCGTTGCTACCAGCGATTCGTATTCTTTTCTTTAGATTGTATTTACGCCAAACTTAATTAAGATCCGTTTAGTCAAGGTCGAGGTTAGGGAAATAGGTAACAAAACAAACAGGCAGATTCGCTTTCGCAAATATGTATATAGGGGGAGAGGCTGGGGGGACAAAGGGAATTTTTAGTAATTTGGACTAAACCACATACCCACGTAGACTTTTAACAAATCTACTTAGTGACTCACAATCAAGCCTGTGAGTGGAAGTGATAGGGAATTATTAGTAATGTGGACTGTTGACCCCATAGCTAGCAATATACAATGTCAGGTTGACCTCCACGCGATGGAAACCATCGTGATGAATTTCTGGTAAATTTGTAACGCTGGGCTAACTAACATGACCTTATCATCTTCCACTGGTGCCCCAACATTGTAAACCGTAGGCGGGTGCTCCTTATCCAATAAAAAAATGGTACTAATAGGGAACATATTTTTTTTAGTCTCAATTCAGATAGCTTTACAGAATTAACATACTCACTATTATGATCCTAAGCTTCTAAGTGAACAAAGAAAAAAATCAGACAGCTTTAAAGAAGCTGTAAATATAAAGAACTATACCTTATGATCCGCCCAAGCATCTCTCTGGCACGAGCGACCACAATAATGTACAAACTGGCAGCCCGAACACTTGAGCACCTTGCCCCTGAAATTCCCAATGTGTTGTGAAGTCATATTATACAATTGATTAAATATAGATGCTGTGATGATTATTCAATGTCTGCTGATATAATAAAGGGGTTGCAGTGCCAAATTCAACTGCATTTAATAATTAATTACTGTTTGTGTACATCTATTTTAATAAATAAAATAAGTGTCTATTGGTAATTTCAAATTAACAGCTTTTCACTAAAAGCATAAAAAAAATATATTTATATTACATAAAAATTATTTAAAACATTTATTTTTCAATTTTGAAGGAATTTTCACATGCATATAGCTAATGTTATAAGGAGTAACTTAGGTCAATTTTATTTTAGAAATATTATTTATTTTAATAATATAAAATAAAATATATGCAATAAGTCAGAGGTAACAGCTAGTGCAATATAAATTAATATGGTAACAGCTACAACAACATAAATTACTGTTTTGAAAGTGGGTTAAGCCATCTTAGTTATTAAAATGAGAACTTATCATGAGTGTCATCTTATACATAAAATTCTCGTGTCACAGATTTCATTCCAATCAGCTCATTAAATTTTGTGAGTGTATCGAGTAGATCTGAGAATTTTTCTATTTTTCATCCCCCTAAATGTTAGGGGTAGTCCACCCCTAATTTTTTTTTTATTTTAACAGCTAGTCTTTAAATATAGTATTATTTATATTATATTATTAACCCTAATGGCAAATAAATTGAGAGCCCACTTGATGATAAGTGGAAATTGTCTCCTATATACATAAGGGGCACCACAGAAAGTTTATATACAAAAAAAATACAACTAAAAAATCAAAAGAAGCAAAAAGAAAAAAATATATATCATCATTCCCCAAGGATGGTACTACCTCATAAGCTAGGATAAGTTAATTTAAATATATATAGGTAGATTTAGAAACCTGCCCCAAGAGGCTGACAACCCAATTACTCGGGGTTGTCAACCCCCATCTGTGCTGGGGCAAAGATATAACAATTGTAGTAAATACAACCTACAACCACTTTAATCAGTCTATTACATAACTTATAATATGGGATTTGAATTTAATAAAATATTTAATCAATTCTGCTGATATTACACAAAAGTAATTTTTATTTAGTTCAATAAAAATAATTTGTATTACAAAAACACAATATAAACACATCAATAGTATTTTTTTTCATTATACCACTTATTTGGAAAGCAGATTCAGTACAAGAGAAGAAAGATACTTGACCGTTGCTCTTTTAAACAAAATTGCTCAACTTTACATTGACTATAAATTTTATTTACAAATACCCACAAATAACTATTATTAAATTAATAATTTTAAATTATTGGTAAACTAAGAAAACAGTAAATAAATTAAGTTCATAAGTTTTAATAATATTTACTTACTTTTCTAAACAATTATCACATCGAATGCCTTTTTCTTTTGAAGATAGGACATAAGCAAATGGTTGCTCAGTCAATATAAGATCACCAGCCTTTATTGTCGATTCAGTATTTCTAAACTTATTCTTCATATTGCTTCTTTTTGAGGTAGATTATTTTTTAATGGTCCTAATATATTTTTTTGTTAAATTATCTTAGACTTAGACCTTACGTACAAACTAGTCAAACTACTCAGTAGTGAATGTAACAGGAATGTAAGTTAATATAGTTGCTGGCTGAAAAGATTATTCAGCCCCGGTTAGTACCTGCCGTTCCAAATTTATCCTATCGGTTATCTACATATTTTTAGTGGATATAGAACGCGACCGCTGACAGACACAGTATCAATAGAAAACAAACAAAAAGGGGACTAATATTAGATTCTTCAGCGAACTGAGGTTATATGAAGCGGCCAGGATCAATTATCAAAACGTTTGAAATAACGAAATAAAATCATAGAATAAAAAGGTTATTTTGCGTGAGAACAAATTTATAAACAAAACTTTATTAGGAATTCAGAAGTTGCGAGAAAAATTAAATATTGTTTGTTATTGACAGTGGGAGTAGGGTTGTGTAATAATATGTATTTAAACATCGATATTTTTATATTTCAATATATGTATATTGATTTAAAAAAAATTGGCATATCGAAATTGTGTCAATAACAATATTGTGAACAACAATATCGTACTAGAAAATATACAGTATATTTACAAGTACAATATTGTTATTCGCATTAATTGCTCTTTAGTATACAAAGCTTTTTAATTCATATTTCTTTGTTAGTTATTTTAACTTCAATTACTAAAGAATGTCAATAGTAAGTCTATTTAAGAATATTGATTATTAAACATTATGGATATCGGAGTCAATTCCGAATATTATTTTTAAATATATTAAATTGAATAATCTAACTCAATAAATATATTGTATTATCAGGACCAATAACCTGTATTACTAATTTATATAAACAAGACTTTAATAACAACAAAACGATATATTAATAAGATATTATTGCTACATTTTTAATATCGATATATAAATTTTATTCTACTTCGCGTTCCTAATCTATTCGACCCGAAAGTCAACAGTGACATTATACAGGTGACAGTGATAATCTAAATGTTGTTTGGTGATTCTGTACATTTATTATCTGCGCTGTCAGTTGCAACGTGCGTACTTTTTGCGAACTGTCACTTGTCAGTGTTAGTTTTTTATTTACTATTTTATACAATTTTAAAACAATATTTCTTCACATAAAATGTTCATATGCTTATTTAATTCATAATTATTATTCCAATATTTTTGTTTTATTGGTTTTTATAATTTAAAATGTCAATAGTTGTCACTAAAGCAGCTTTAGCTTTGAAAAATGCGGAGAATAATTTTCAATTCGTCAAGTTTGAATCATACAAACCTAAAAAGAGAGAATCTACTTCACATGACCAAAATATTGAGAAAAAGGCACAATTAAGTCGGAAGTCAAAGAAAGATTTAGATCTCAAGCAAATAAGACATGAAGTGGTTAAATTCGGAATGTCAGGATTTGATTCGACTAAGAAAGAGGAGGCAAAAATTGCCCTAGCCGTAAGTTTAGGTTAGTGGCATGTTTTTTATTCTTTACTATTATAATATTTATTTAACATTACCTCATACACACAGTTTTATTTATACTGTGTCATTTAGATGTCGGTGCAGAATGAATAATATATATCACTAATTTAAAGGTGCTTTATTCTAGATAAATATCATCTGAAATAAAGCATCTTTAAAGTGGTGGAAGAATTAATGGTTTAGGATATAGTCACTGCTGACATTTATCTCATATGCTCTTGTTCCTTTTTATAACATTGTGGCGCACCACTGGCTTTGCATACTTTATTTTATACACTTAAGGCAAAAACTTTCAGCAGGTGAATGGAAACTATATGAAAATCCATTTAGTAGTTTTTGATAGTCCCACAAACATATAGACAGACAATGGAAAAATTATATTTTATAATATGTATTTATAGTATGTAGATTAGTGTCTGCTCAGTACTTAGTAAATGTGATCACATCAGGGATAAAAAATAAGTCTCCTGCATCTAAATAATTTTGTAAAAATTTCATGATCATCTGCAAAGATGTAAAGCAAACAAAATAACATTCACATTTTTAATAATTGTAATAACTGTTTGTGGCCTACATATACACAACTTAACATACAACAAAAATACTATCTACATATACCCAGGCGCAGTCCACATATAAAGATCAAAATTTGTATTTAACAACATATTATATTGCTACAACTGCTGTAATAACTCTTAAAAAACTATATTAATAAAAATATATACCTGAGTTGTATTAATGGATTATTTTTTATTAAAGGTGCCAAACCACCTAAAAGGAAATACATAAATTATAAAGAGTTGATGCAGAAACGAAAACTAGAGAAAGAACAAGAGAAGAATGAGAGACAGCAGATGATCTCTAAAAGTTTGTTGAAGACTGGTGGCAAGAAGAAGAAACCTAATAATGATGTTGGTCACTTTTTGAGTGGATATGGAAAGGTACACTCCAAATCAACTAATATGTTACTCAAAAATGTGAAAATTTGGACAAATTTGAATAAAATTTGTACATACATTTAGATTGCAGTATTTACTGTCTGCATAGGTTTTCTCTGGAGACTACAACTTGGGGTTTATTTAAATAGGTTTTTTTACCTTTTTGTTTCTTGTGGCTCAGTAACATCCAAGTGATACCCCTGGTGTTTCAGTTTCCCATGGGCTATGGTTTACTATCATATTGGCCTTATGCTTTCTTGCCATCTACTTACTAGACAAAGATGAATGATGGTCATTTCACTTAATACTTTAGTTGTTAAGTTGAATTCATAGACAACCTCGGTGGTCTAGTGGTCTAAAACACTGCTTTATGTCCGATGGTCGCGGGTTCGATTCCTCGCACGGCACAAACATTTGTATTCATGAGTATGATTGTTTGTATCGGTCTGGGTGTTTTCTATGTATAATATGTATGTATGTATACATAGATATATATTTTTTTCGTAAGAAAAAAATATATATCTATGTATATGTTTCAGTTGTCTAGTACCCATAACACAAGCTTTAGCTAGCTTAACTTGGGACTAGATGGCGCTGTGTGAATTGTCTTGAGATTATTATTATATTATTATTATTATGTTTAGAATGGTTTAGCTGTTCTAAACCATATCAGAGGTATACTTAGATTTGGCTGTCCAGTTTATTCACAACGGCACTAAGTACGTAAATCTAGCCGCCATCTGGTTAGTCCAGGTTTATACAGCTATATTTTGATAGTAAATGATTTTTTGCCACTGATTAGTATTGTATACTTAATATAAAATAATATTTCTGATTTTGCAGGTGCAGAAGAAAGATTTAAAAAAAGATGACAATAGTAATAAAAAGAAAAGTAAGAAGAAATGAAATATGTTAATTAAATAATTAATAAAATGTAAAATAAATAATGTAAATAAGCAATGAATTTTTATGTCTTTTACATCCCATTTAATTATATTTGAAAGTAATAAAAATATGAAAGAGTTCCTTCCGTTACTATTATTATTAGTCAATAAAACTACTATTAAAATTGAAAATTTATTATTATTGGAGTTTTTTAAAAACAATTTATTTTGACTTTTAGAGTACGCAATCTACACATTATTTATATACACCATTATTATATGGTCAACTGTCTTAAAAAAGCATTGGGTTCGCAATGTTACTGTATTGTTTTTGTGTCAGTACTTTTTCGATTTGGACCGATTTTGACGATTCTTTATTTAGAAGCTGTTGCTTCTAACGTGTTTTCATATAAATTTGAATCGATACTGACAATTTTAGAAATTCATATCTAATATTGATAACGCGATTGAAGTAGATTTTTTCATGGACTGAACGAGCGTTGACATATTGCTCTAGATGTGCCTATAAGTATAGGCACAGCCTAGCCTATGTGTTATTCTGATTTATAAGCTATGTTATTGTAAATTTTAATTAAAATACATTCAGTAATTTTTGCCTGTAAGAGTAACAAATATCCATTCACACTCACAAACTTCCGCGTTTATAATATTTGTAAGATTATGTTTATCGTTAACAGTGTTATCACACGCAAAATGACAATAAACAAGACGTCTGTCACGTTTTTTATTTCAAACATTCTGTAGACTACATAACCAGAACTACGGCTGCAAACTAAGTTAAGGTAAATACAAGTATTTAGTAATGGGCCTGATAATGGATTCGATTAACACTTGTCTAACGAGTTGAAGGTTGTGTTAATTTGCAAACGATGAAGAGATCTTAATATGTGCTACTTCCATAGGTGTTTAAAAAATGTTCTTGTTAAAGGTTGTCACCCTCATTACACCCTTACAAGAGGGGTTAGAGACATGTAACTAATGGTGTGGTTGTTAAACAGGTAAAACTATAACAATCTAAAATTACTTAAATAGACTCTTGTGCAGAATTCATATGCTTAACCGTGAATATTCTTTACCTACTGTCGAATCTACAACAAGATCTTTTATATGGATATGACAATGACGGCTTTAAATTAAAAGAGAACTACATTTTCAGTTCGTGTAACATAAAGTAGGATATGTTATTATAATTGTGCTGAGGTAGATTTGATACGAAGTCGACTGCATAAGTCGTCTTCGTATAAAATCTATTCGATTAAAATAGATTAACGAGAGCTCTGTCTCGTATATTTAATCCACTAAGCAACTTGTACACAGCGAGATTCGGACTGAAGCTTGAGATACAGCAGTGATTATACGGTACGGTATTGGGCAGTACAGCAAATCCAATATGCTATTCATAATGAATATTTCTGCTTAGGTTAGATACCTATAGGGGAGAGGGTGGCAAGATGGGGTACTTAAGCTTTCAAGGTCAATAGCATAAAAAATACCGTAGTGAAACAAATATATTTATTTTATAATTAACAACTAATTAATATAATTCAAATATTTGGTGTCATTAGTAGGTTTAAGTAACACGTTTAAGAGAAAAAATAAAAAATAAAAAAGAAGTGTTTTGCCCCGTCTTGCCCCATGGTGCTGGTAAGATGGGGTACCCCCCTAAGGTAAGATGGGGTGATGAGAATGATCATAGAGAAAGATGATTATTCGAGCTGGCAAAACTCGCAGACATGTATGGCTTTGTCATCATCATCATCTATTCCTGCGCAACTATTATGAGCCCATCTGCCACATAATGAGCATGATATCCACCCTTCAATGGAAACGGAATATATTTCCTCGCAATACATACACGGTGTGTTCCCCTCTTCTTGACTTTCATCTTCATATGATGAAACTCCTCGTCGTATTGCTCTTTTGGGCTGTAGTCATAGTGGCTGCTTGAACATAAGCATTTGTAAATATTTCAGCGACTTGGCGGATAGTAACGACTTGTCCAGGGTTAGAACGCAGCCAGGCTGTAACGGCTTGTTCATAATAAACGCTCAATGGTCGCATGAATGCAACATCCGCTACTTGTAGACGGTGTGTCGTGTGTGGAGGAAAACACAAGATTATAACACCATGAGCTCTGGCTTCATTGATTAGGTCAATATTTTGTGTGTGGGTGCTGTGCCCATCCAGTAAAAGAAGCACAGGTCTCTCTTTAGATGCCCCACTAAAAATTACAAATCTCTTAAACCATTGGAGGAACAGCTCGGAAGTAATCCAGCCCGAATCACTACATGTGCCCCAAGCACCAGCTTGCGAATTTACCATAAGCTCTGGATTCATCCTTTTTCTTGGAAAGATAAGCATAGGAGGCATGTAGTTTCCAGCTGCACTGAAGCATATCTCGACCGTAATCGTCTGTCCTCGTTCTGCTGAAACTATGGCCCCAACCTGTTTCCGTCCTCTTTTAGCGATTATCTTTGAATTTGTCTTTGGAACAACAGAAACCCCCGTTTCGTCACAGTTATATATACGGTCAGGAGTTAGTTGGTGCTCATCGTAGACGTTGCCGAGGAAATTGAAGAATTTTTTGACTGCAACTTTATTAAAACCAGATGCTCTGGCAGCAGAATTTTAAGGCTTTCGAATTGATAGGTCTGGGTGTCGATTTAAGAAGCTACGTATCCATTCTTTACCAGCTTCTTCTTTCACAGCGTTGAATGGATTAGGCTTATTATTTTTAATTGCTAACTGGTATGCTAATGCCTTTAGATCTTTAATCGTAAGTCCATATAACCTTTCTTCCATTTCTAATAAATAGTCACAAAGCTCAATCTCTTCATACATAGAAAAAACAGGCAGCCTAGGACCCAAGGGTACTTTAATTGGTATGAGTAAGTTTTCATTAGATGTTTCATTCGTAAGGCGAGTAGCCTTAACTTTTCTCTCTAATGTCGTCTGTGGTACATTAAATTGTTTAGCTGCTTTATAATAACCCATTTTTTTATTCAACACCGCTTGAACAGCTTCCCGCATAGATTCTTCGGACCACGACCCTCTGTTAGTCGTGCGTTTGTAGTTACGAACCATTCTAAAAAGGCAAATTATAATAAACACACAAAAAACATACTCATTTTTACGGAAAACAAACCAGAGCAAAATTATTCACGAGGGGGCAAGATGGGGTACCAGTTACCCCATCTTACCTGCAGAGCCCTTTTATATAAAAATAAAAACAAAAGCAAAACAGCCAACAATCTTTAGGAAACATAATGCATACCTTATTATAGGTTAGTTTAAACGTCAGTCACAGCAACACCTCACCAGCTAACGTTATTTAATAAACCACAGTCACGTGTCAAGCCAGAAGAAAATATGATAAGCAACATGCAGTAAAATACTTATTTTGAATTTTTTTCGACACTGTGCACTTGTGAACCACTAATCACCGGGCGACTATTAACGGTCATGGCAGCGCGTCGCACGATGAATGAACGAGTGTGATTGGTCAATTAGAAAAGTGAATTTCGCTGGGTACCCCGTCTTACCTCCCTCTCCCCTAAGGGATAAGGAAATTGTAATTGGGAAAGAAATTAATTATAAGTATACATACACGTGAGTCAAATTTTGCAGTCTTTTATTCAATTGAAGGACAAGGAATCTTGTCTAGATGTTATTTTTCTATATGTAAACCAAATAGTCCAATAGGATATATGACAGACACCTTTGTACTCTAGTACTAAGGTGTCATTCTGTATTCTGGTGGTAAGTCTACTAGTACTAGTAGACTTTACCACCAGAATGCATATCTAGGTATCGCATGTGGAGTACCATGGCCGTCATAGATTAGTTTTGATTTTTGCAATGCTGTTAATTTATAGAATCGTTACATATTTCAAGAATCGTCAGCTTGTTTAGTATTTCATTTGTATAAAAAAACAAGTGATTCTGAATGTGTTAACTAAGTAAGAAAGTATTACATTGATTGAAACATTTACAAAGCAAATATGGAGTGTGAAAATTGAAATATTGTCGTACTGGAGTAGTTTTGGCTTTATGATTAACAGACGGATAGACGTTCTGTCTGATTGGGAGAATTAAATAAAATAGAAAATGTGAGCAAGCACAGAGACCTCGGTTCTCTGCTTATTCTGTAATTAATCGGACTTGATGGATTGTTAAAAGTTTGCAATTACTTCGCCTATTTATTAACAAGTTGACTTGTTCCATTTTAAAATAATGGTCTTGTAATTTTAAAAGAATTAACATCATATCATTTGCTTAGATCATTATGTCTTAATTACTCTTTGAACGAGTATCGGTACTTAATTATAATGAGCTATAATTTAATGTCTACTTGAATTACTTGATTTCTATTGTCCTATTACTTAATTGGTATAGGCAATAACTAATTGCATACAGGGAGGGAGTAAGGCTACCATAAAAAGGGTTGATGATCTATTGAAAGCACATTATACGTTTGGACTAAAGAACAGTACTGTAGCAGTAATGTATCTCCATCTTCACTTGTCTGCTGCTTTCCGAGCACTAGATCACAAATGGGGCAAGCCAGTCGACTTAGATACCTCACAAGAAGACACTGGAGAAGTTTGTGTTCCAGCTACCATAGACAATTATACAACAACATTTTCGTCTGAAGAATACTTGAAGACTATCCGAAGATCTCGAGTGGAACCATACTCTCGACTAGAAGAACGAAGATTGTATAAAAGAAATCTCGATAGAGTTGATTCCTTTTCTAATATCTCAATTTCAAGAATGCCCTCGTTATCTGATCTTGGAGGGTCCGTGGACTCGTTAAAAACGATAAGCTCTGAAGAATCTGATATTCGAACACAGATTACAAATGAACTAATGGATAATTTAGAAAATACATTAAATATGGACGATGCCTGTGATTCGGGTATTTCGGGATTTAAACGAAAAAAGTTTGAATCTGGCAATATTTTGAAAAAATTGAAGAAAAGAGCGCTTTCATATGTCGATAAGAGGTATCGAAAAAAGCCTCGTCTTTCGTAACTTAATTTTTTTGTTAAAATTGTAAATATATTTTCTTATTGTAATATCTACATTTAAATTATTTAATTTTTATATAATAATAATAATTAAGTTATTGAATACTGAAATTCTATTATCTGTTTGTTTTCTATTAATCTATGTATATTGTATAATCTTAAATGTTTCTATTTATAGCAATTATTTATTAATTAAATTGTACAGCGAATTATATTTAAGTTTCTTTTAAAAACAAGTATTAAACTTGTTACCCATTAATAAATGAAACCATAAATGAATATTTAAATATCTTTTAATTAAAAAATAACTAGAGGATATCTATAATATTTACAAAGAGTATAAATATAGTACATTAATATTATGCGGGCAAGTTCATTTTTACAATAAATAAAATTAAACATAAAAAAAAAACAATATAATAATAATTATTATTATTTGACTTAAACATAAGGTTCGAAATACTTAATAGCTGTCAACATAGGCTTTTCGTTGATTTTGTTCGTTGCTACAGGATTCTTAACTCGCATCTTAATGTCTTTAGGTTTCAACACATTTTTGTGATTGGCACTTGGAGGCCTGGGAGGCCTAACGTTCTGGTTCTTGGTAGGCGTAAAAATAGACTTAGAACTAAGACCAGAAGATTCCAGGAAGAAATCAAAGTTCCCTTTTGTTTTATTTACGTTCGATTCTGGATTATTATTATTCAGAATCATTCTGGGTTCACATTTTACCGTGTTATATGAGCCACTATTACTTCCAGAGGAATTACTTGACTCTATATCAAAATTCCTTACCGATTCAGTCTCTAAATTCTCTATGTTCGACAGGAGATCAGGTTTATTGGATAGCTTTCCATTTTTCGTCAAATTTTTGTTCAATCCACTTTCGTTGTTTTCAAGAAAGGAACCCTTTTTTTCATTTTCAGCACTAATACTTGTAGCTTTATGCTGATTGTCTTTATCAGGTACAACGGTTCGTATGTGTTCAGTTACCACGTCTGATATGGAACCATCGCTGCTTCCAGAGCTAATGCGATATTCCTCTGCGACGATGCTGCCGAGTTCATCATCTATCTTAAATTCTTCAAAATTCTGTGACAAATCGAACTTGTCTATTTCGTCGAAATATTCTGCTTTATGCAATTCTGCATTACTAGTCTGTGGCTTTTCGGGCCCATGATTAAACTGGTGATCTAGTTCAGTCAAATTAATCTGCTTATTACCACTTTTACCTCCCTTGTTGATTTCAGATAATATGGAAGACACTGTGTTCCCCATTTGTATTGAAGCACGAGGGTCCAATTTTGGTTGCAGAGGATGTATACTAAAGTTTGTCAAGTAACTGTCAGTACGTTGAAATTGATGATTTTGTTCATCATTTAGCTTTTCGTCATCATCTGGAATGATAATTTCTGTAACTTGCGGAAGTTTGGGTATATCTTTATCGCTGATCTTATTTTGTATTCGTGGCAAGGACACGACTTTAGCCACGCTGTTTCTTTGACTTGTCGCGTGAATAGGGTATTGTTCATTGTGAATTTCAACCGTTGGCTGTGTAAGTAGCAACTCCCTTTTACCATTACTGACTACTGGAACATTTATCTCAGAAATGGAGCAGTAGTCCGGTTCAATACTGTTTACAGTCGCTACTTGTCCCACTTTTCTCATCTTAACATCTGCAACCCGTTGATTAGCCGCAACGGCTTCAGAGTCTAACGGTTCTGTCGATGACCTGACAGTATTTTCAGCTTTCCATTTAGCTGATAAGTTCTTTGGTTTAGGAGGCAGTGCAGGAGGAGTTCGTGGCACCTTTCTTTTATTGAAAATTTTCATAGACCCTAAATCATTATCGTTGGTTTTTTGTGAATTATTGTTCCGACTTTCTATGTCCGCCGCAAGATTTTTCACAATTGAGCCCTTTATTTTAGGAACGTTGGGCTTATCAATGGACAATACAGGTCGTATCGATGGCACAGGCTTAGATTCAATTGATTTAGTAATAATTGGCTCATACTCATTACTATAGATGCTTTGTATTTCATATTGAAATCCTTGAGCTGTATTTGGAACTTCATAACTATGCTCAGAAGCAGTTTCTAAGCTGAACTTCACTATTTTATTTGCCCTCTTATCAGAACGAGGCAGCGTGTGGCTGTTGCCATTATTTCGCAGTTTGTCGTCATATGTTATACTGTTTAAAGTAGAAAATTGCACACGTTTAGTTGATGATTTCGGGCTCGCAATTTCGCTAGACTTAGAATTGTCATTGCTACTATCATCTAATGAGTTTTGAAGGAGTATTTGATTAACACATTCTAGTACTGGATTGTTTTTATATATTTCATTCGTAGGGCTATCGTCGGCATCACTAGTACTTGCGTACCAATTTTCACTTATCTCATTACTTTGTTTACTTATATTAGCATCCAAAGTATTATTATTTTTGTCATCAAAGCTAGTGTTAAACTTCTCATGTGGATTATTTTTCAACATGCTATTGCACAATATTTCGTTTTTAGTGGCCAAGGGTTGTATATTAGACACATTCCTTTTAAACTCAGTACCTAAAAGATCGTCGGTGGATTTTGATTTGGTGTTACTTGTTAAACCTCTTTGGTGTAGACAATCTGTGTCTTGTTCAGGATCACTAACATTGCAATACCAAGGTTTCTCATTTCCTTCTATGGTTAGAACATTATTAAGGAAAAGTTGTCGGTTTGCTTTTATTTCATCAGAAGCTTGTCTCTTAATACCGTGTAATTGTTCTATTTTTGTTGAATACGTTTTATCGGAATCGCTTACCGCTTCATTTTTATTTGCCTCTCCAATAATTTGATCAATTTTTTGTGATGCTCTTCTTATGTATTTAGCAATTTGATTAGCAGTCATATCATTATCTTCGTGGTTAACATGATAACTCATGCCAATGCATTCTTCGGCACTACTGCTATTATTAGCTTGATTATAACTTTTCTGTATACTATTTTTTCTTCCAGAGTATTTTCTAGATCGTCTGAATACGTCACGTCTGACAAATGCTTGTTTGTTTTTAATAAACGTACCCTTACTTCCGACACTCCCATTGTTCCCTTCTTCGCTGGAACTAGTATTACCATACACGACATCATTTTTCGGCAATTGAAAACTCTTACTTAGCCTAGTGTTTTTTTGGAAAACCGGTGGAGAATTTCTTTCACGATAACTACAACTTCGTATAAAATGATTTTGGAATCTTGAATCGGTACTCTCTAGACTCTGGAATTCTGGATCAGTCTCAATATTGGTTTGTTCGCTTGTGAACCCGAGAACCTGCTGACAGTTACTGCAGTATGACTTGCGAGCTTTTAGTTTGATTATCTCTTCTTGTTGCGCCTTAATTATTTTCTCTTTTTGTTGGAGGGCAACATTAATTTGTCTTTGTTCTCGGGTCAACCGTGACTCAAGTAAAACGAGCGACCGGAGTACTAGTGCTAGTTGATCTTGCCTTAGGCGTCGTTCTTGTGCTGCCTGTTTGTTACGAGTGGCCAGAGCCTGCCCTGCTTCTACTAACTGATGCCTTTGCTTGAGAACGGATTCCGACTGTTGTTGCAGCGCACTCCTCACTGCGTCGAGCTCCCGTCTCAGCTCCATCGCTTCTGAGCTGCTGTCCATCTGTAATGTAAAGAAGTTAAATTTTAATTCTTATAATTAAAAACAATTATAGTGGATGGTCAGCGTATAATAAAACCTTTACAATATATACCTTCAATTTCAGAGATATGGAAAAGAATTTAATTAACAAGTATTTTAGTGACACGATAGATGATTGGACTTGTCTAATGTCTGTGAGTGAATAAATCAGTTTAAGAATAGCGAATAGGGTATCGCTCCACGATAAGAGGGTCACAGGTCGAAACGATTGAGACTACGCACTGTTATCGAACTAGGAATCGTATAACCGTTATGTGATAAAATAATTATGAGTCATAAAATATTGAAATGTAAACAACACTAAAGCCAAAGAATATATCTCACGTAGCAGTGCTGTGGTTTTCAAAAGACAAAAAGACTCAAATGAAACACATTTTACAAAGCAAGTTGCTTAGCAACTAAAATGGTGAGACTGAGGTACCAACCTACGCAGACGACTTTTTACAAAGTCTACTTCAGTTAAAGTATTAATAATCAAATATATACTTATATAACATTCTCTATAAGAAAATTTATTAAATGTAAATTAATATTTATTTAATTGCAATTTCCTATAGGTACAAAGTCCAATCGAAATTTCTACCTAATGTATTTCTATTTTTATAATGCTTAACAATCATTATTTACATAAACAAGACCTTTGCCCCATCGTAGCACAAATTTTATTATTGCAATACATTCATAGAGTAACAGAGTCAGCAATATTGTAGAGCGGTCAATGTTCAACACTATATAAGGAAGTGAAAGGGACACTATTACGTTTTAAATAATTAATAAACAAATAAACAGCTATGTAAGAAGAGCTTGTATACAATATAGGTATCTACTGAAACGTAATGCCGATCTACAATTAAAATTTAGTTTTTTAGTTTTACTAGTTTTACTAGAGCATAAGTTGAATCGAACTGAGGTAATGGTCATTGTACCCGTAAACTTAATTCTATACTCTATTTTTATTTATGTAATTTAAATGACAAACAGATGATGGTACACCAAGTGGCAACAGTCGCCTATACACATGAACAGTAGGTACCGCAGGGCGGGGTCAAAGTCGAATTTATATGTAGGTAACAAATATAGGTAACAGGTGCTGCATACTTTCCGATGTGGTTGGTTATATCTTAATCTTAATAATATTATAACCGCGAAAGTTTGTATGTACGGATGTTTGTTACTCTTTCACGCAAAACCTACTGAACGGATTTTGATGATACTGTACAGTAATATAGCTATGCATCAGAATAACACAGGCTATATTTTATATATAAATTTCACGCAGGTAAAATGAACAGCTAGTAATGAAATAAATGAACAATATAGTAACAATTATATGTATATTTGTTCAATTCAATGTTTGCAAGGCGAACTGATTGTAGTGTGAGCCCGCACGTGCCTCGCCGATAGTATTTTCTTTATCAACCTTTTGTATTAACTGCTGATATGATAATGTTCACTTTATAAGTTACATACCAACCCATGGCATTTCCAATAGAATTTAGACTGAGTTGTAATAGGATACAAAGTCATGTTCAATTCCTCAGACGTGATATATATACAAACAAAATAATTTACCTATATATTGATAGATATGTGATGAAAACATTTTTTTATAATAATGTTTAAAACACCACTAACTTACTAAAAAACATTTCATACATTATCATGCATTGATCATATATAATTATACATCTATATACGTTTACTTAGACAATAGAACCTTAATAACGTTTAAATTTAAACTTAAAATTTAAATGAATTAAAGTCTAATTTTGATTCAAACTGATAATTTTTACTCAATATTGAATTATTTCAATTTCTGTTACATAAACTAATACTTATGTATGTAGATGAGGTGAAACATACAATTACAAGAAGCAAGGCATAGAGGTAACAATGGATGGCCTTATCGCTAAATAGTGATCTCCAGATAACTTTAAGATGGAAAGGAGTAATTAGACTAAAATTGAATTTCTAAAGAATTTATTCATATATTATTGTATTTCCATACGACTTATTCGTCCTATACGTCAGTTTTTGTTTTAGGAAGTATGTAACGAAGTGTTTGGTAAATTTGCCAATATTACAGGTTTTAATTACAATGTAAGCATTACCTTATTGTTCTTAGCCACATTTATTTTGTTACTTAAAGTTTTAATATCAATTTAAGAAAGGCAAAGATATCAAACCCACACAGGTATTGTCTGTGGTATAAATTTTAGATTTTAATTTGAGTTTCCTCTTCAAATATCTTCTTTCTTACTCTCATATACAGTTTAGTCTTATGTGTTTATAAAACTTATTATTTAGGTAAAAAAAATATTTATTATCACAAACTATTAAATCAAGTTAACAACATACAAGTTTACCACTGGGTCAGTGATAACAAAAAAAAACATGAAACCATTTTATACATTATGTCGACGTAATATTTAATTTATTTACTCAAGTGTGAAGTCTAAACATGATAGCACTGGGACATACCGTTTCAAATAATTGAATACAGTTTTAAATTATTGAGGAAACACGGTTATATTTACTGAAGTGTAAAGAATAATTATTAGTTAATGCAATTCTATGTAATTTGGTGTATGTACGTCATTGGCGCAGGTTTCCTGCTACATACAACGCTCTCCGATAAGGGATTTGGCATACGCGTCACAATCTTCCGGGTATATGCTTATCATTATAGAACTTATACGGTATATGACGGGCTCGGTGGTCTAGGGGTTTTATACGCCTTACTACTCATGGACGCGAATTAGATTCCTCGTATGATGCAAATATGTTCATGAGTTTGATTGTTTGTATATATCTGAGTGTTGTCTATATTATGAAGATAATATTTCCCGACAAACGTTGTTTTCTAAAATAAAAAATAAAAATTAGGGTTGGACTTAACATTTAGGGGGATGAAAAATAGATGTTCTGATTCTCAGACCTACTCAATACGCTCACAAAATTTGATGTCAAGCAAACGGCTTGACCGAGAGGAGTATGGGAACGAAAACTGTGACACGAGAATTTTATATATAAGATTAAAAATTTTCTATAGAAAATCTTTACTTTTTTTACAGAATCTGCATTGTGTAGTTGATGTAGGTACCATAACCATATCTGTAACAGTACATTGACCCACTCTTATAGTCCCCCTATTGGGCATATTCCACTACGGTCTGAATTTTCAGAGGATAGCTATATATATAACACGAATCTTACCTTTCTCACTAATAATTGGTCACCTGAGAAATGTAACCATGTATTTTGAAAAGAGAGAAATTATAACATCATTGCGTGGGGCGAATTTTTAAGGTCAACTATTGAAAAGAATGTGTTTTGAAATAAAATACCAGTCGCTAAACATATTGTTAAACATTATACTATCTAAATAGAGACATTCGGGCGCATGCGCCCACGCAGAGACATGTATTGTAAAATCGAAAGTGCACGCTAAATGGGGTGTGGGTTGTACCATGATTTACATCAAATTGGTAGCTAGCAGTATGTTGATACATGATGGAGTAATTAGAATTATTATTTGTTTTTTTAGAGCAGCGGTGTCAAATGATTTACCACTTTGGACAAACCCAAACGGTAAGTTCAAAGCTGGATGAGACCAAAAAGTTTAGTGTGTTAATTTAAACTAGTAGGTGCCCAGTGTTCGAATTTCAAATATAATTAATTTAACATTCAGTAAGACTATAGACAAATAATATTACAGACAAACAATATAAATCTATTCTCAATTTGACCAGAGACTTTAACAATAAACAAGATGTATGTGTGTTTTTTTTTATTAATAATTTTAAATTAATTACATTCTGCACTCCTCTATATAAACGTTAAGTCTGCGAAATAAAACTCCTCCATCCGCGCTATTTTCATAAAAAGGGGTACAAACTTTTTCATTAAACTTTTTAATAGTAGTAGTAGTACATATTTTATAAATAAAATTCTCGTGTCACAATGTTAGTTACCATACACCTCTGAAACGGATTGTTAAATTTTTATGATATGCATATTCAGTAGGTCTGAGAATCGGCTACTATCTATTTTTCATACCCCTAAGTGATAAGGGTTTTCACCCCTAACATTATTTTTTGGGCAACATTTTTTATTTATATTTTTTTATTATGTCATTAAAAAATACATACAACCCTAAATATTCACCCTTCTATCACCAAGCCCTATTTTTTATAGCGTTATTAATTTATATTACAAAACAAGGTTTGCCGAGGCAGCTAGTAATCTATATATTAGATTATATAGATTTCTGGCTGGCTCGGAAATTCCGATAATTATAATGAAGTACCTTCCTAATTACGTATGTTAAACTGTAATAGAGTCGACTACAACTACTTTAGCCGAGCAATTAGGGACAAAAATGTACTAAATATAGATACCTACTACGCAATTACAATAATGGTTTAATCTTAATTACAATTGTAATGAAATTGATTAGTTACAATTATTGAGCCATAAAAAAGGTCAGTCATATACACTGCAATTTATAAATAACTAGCTGTGCCGGCGTTAAATTACAATATAAAATATAGCCTATATGTTATTCTGATGCATAAGCTATATTACTGTAAAGTCTCATCAAAATACGTTCAGTACTTTTAGCATGAAAGAGTAACAAACATCCTTACAAACTTTCGCATTTATACTATAATAAATATTAATAAAACTAGCTGACTCGTGCATTTCTTTATTTTCGTTTTTGCTAATTTTTCATTGCAGGACCGCTCCTATTAATCATAGATTATATGTATGATTGTTTATATTACTTAGGATGATACCTATGTACATTATTTACAAGAAAAAATTATAGGTACTCGTATTTCTAACAGCCGTTTGTCTCTCATTAGTTTGAGACTCAACTGTGAATTGTCCTATATACATAACATAAAGCTACGACCAATAGTGGCGAAGCAACGATGAAAAATGTTACAAAAACTTGA